ACTTCACTCCAGGCAATCTTAGTTCATTTTATAGCCTATAATTAGTAATATAAGTTAGTGAAAATTTTAATCAATTAACTACAACTTGAGGCTACTATATTTTTAATTAATTTATCAAAAAAATAATAATTTAACGATTAATAGGTTTAAAAATTGTTGTGGCTGATGCTAAAAAAGGTATCTAAAATATTAATCCTAAAACCTATTTGTATAGTATTTTTTTAAAATTTTTTTTACAAGTCTAACCCTAAACTTAATCTAATTCTTAGAGTAAACCCAAAGATTTAAAATTTATATTAAAATAGTTTAATCTTTACCTGCAATTGATTAACTTTATAGATATCTTTCTCTTCGGCTTCATCACAATCAATTGCATATTGAAGCTAAATATGATAGTAATGAAGTTTGAATAATGCAATAATGCTGGCATCCATGGGCTAAAATTTTGATATTGTATATGGAGGCAACAAAAGCATTTTTATATTAGTCAGGGTAATAGCATCAGTAACATATAAAAGGCACTATCAAGGATAAGTAAAACATGATGATTAGATTGTTTCATTTCTTGATCAAATTTTTGTAAGGGTGGTGTTATTTATCACCTGATTTTTTTTAGATTTTATATATAAAATTTTAAATTTTTTGGCTCCCCCTCTAAAAAATCATTTGATAATTGTCAGCTCTCTAACCATTCTTGAAAAAACATGGCAGGCATCCATACTTTTTTATTATTATAGTAATAGAATCCAAGTTCTTTATTTGTTTTTTTTTTAAAACATCTAGGTCTTGTGAAATGTCCAATAATGAAGAGTTCAAATTTGTGGGTACCATTTGCATTGGCTATAAATGCAATCATAATTCTTGTGCAATTTTTTTTGATCCTTCAATCTGGTAAGACACAATTATACAATCAGGAGCTATAAAATAGAATAAACCTATCTTATCCATATTGTAAACATCATGAAGGGATATTGATTAGTGGTATTAATAATATCAGGAAGGTTTAAGATAATGATAGCAGCAATGTTAGTGAAACCACTCTCGCTATACAACTTAAAATGGTGAAAATATGCTTTTTTTGAAAAGCCTGCAACTATCCATTTAAAAATTCAGACTGATTATTTTTAGGAATATTTATCAAGTCTGCTAATCGCTTGTCCTTGGCTTTAATTATGTCTTCATTTAAACATATAGCCCGATGTTCATATTGTAGTACCCAGTTCATCAAAGCAGTGTCTAGCTTGGTAAACATAACTATATGACGTTTTTTAATTCCAAGGTCACTTGAAGACATTTTATTGAACTCATCTTTCCTTCTTAAAATATCAGAAATTGTACTTTGGCCAGGGCTTTTCCTAGTTTGAATTCAATTTTGACTCACTCAGCAAGTTTTTTTTAAGTAATTGTTGGATTTTTTATATATCATTTTCCTTTAGTCATTATACAAGTTTCTAGCTAAAATAACTTTTTTTTTTTTTTCTATAATAATGGTAATACAAAAGGTTTAAGCCATAATATCTAGGTTGTATAATTTTATTATTTGAAGTTTTTTTTTTTTTAAAACAACGAGCTTAATATTATAATTGTGTTGCAAGAAGTGTTATAATTTATAGATAAAGTCAGTTAATTAACAAAAAATTTTATGCCAAGACACAGGATTTTTAAAGCAGGTATTATTATCTAATAATATCCTTTTTTTATTTTATTTTACAATTTTTCAATAATGTTCTAGATGATTTTTTTTTTTTACAAGATTTGTTTCATCTAATCTATTTTTTGGTATATTATTTTTTGTGCTTGTGGAATATTAAAAGATATATAAATATTTTATCTACAAAGAATTTGGCCATATTATTCTTTCTCGTAAATTCGAAGCTAATTTAAAATTCCAATAACATTTTTGAAAATGTACCTATCTAATTTGGTTTTTATTTCTCTTTTTCTGGTTAGCCTACTAAACCAGATTGATGGATTGGCACAAATGTCTCTTAAAAATAATAAACTAATTATTAGCAATAACCTGGTTTTAATTAAAAAAGTATACATATGCAATGGCCAATATGGGAAACTTTTTAAGTACAATAATTTGTTTAACTTATATAGTTAGATCATGCATATATATATACAACAAATTCCATTTAATTATAGTGCTTACTATGGATTTTAAATTTAAAATAATATATATATTTTTTTCTATTTGAATATATTTTCAAATTCGGAAATCGGATTGGCAGATTAATTATCCATCAATTATATAATTTTCCCAAATTTGATAACCTCTCAAAACCAATATACAAGCCAAAAGTATCAGTATACAAAATAATTGGCAGAAGATGGTGCCCTTGTATATGAAATTTTGGTGAATAGGTGGAAGTAAAAGAAGTCCAAGCCTTCTGTCAATGAAGCTAATAGTTGCAAAACAACTAGAAAACAGTAAAAAACTAGATTTTTTTAAGCTATATTCTTTTTTTTTAGCCAAGTGGTTCCTTTTATACTTTTTTTTACTTTCCTGCTATTCTTTTAAAATTTTTTGAAAAAAGTAAAGATTTGGCTTACTCTCTCTAAAAGATTAGCATTGTTTACTTTTCAAATTCAGATAGCATAGTGAAATGCAACTATGTATTTATAGATACAAAGCTACTATACAGAACTGGGCCTCTGATATAGAACCTCTAATGGTAGCAGCAGGTGGTTTAAGATATGAGTCTATGAATAGCAGCAGCACCTGACTAGAGATACAATTAAAACAGGCTTGAATGAAGCCATCCGGAGTTGATTAGAAGGTTAGAAAGAAAATTTTTAACATTAAAGTAAAGCTTTACAATAGAAATATACAAATATTGCATTTGTTATATAATTTTTATTTTTGTCTAGCATGGGCTATAATAGTATACTTATTATAGATTGTTTTTTTCTTTTTTTTCTTCTGCCTTTTTTTTCTTTTTTTTATTTATTTTTTTTAAATGTATTCTTGTGGTTTTTATATAGGTATTTCTTTCTTTAAACTTTCTTTTTTTTTTTTTGATTATAAAGTTTTTTCATATAGTTGTTAGAAGTTTTTCTTTCTACTTGGGAAGTTAGAAAAAGAAAGTTTAGGATTAAGAAAAGAGAAGGCAATCATGGTAAGCAAAACATAAATACCTTCTAGTGAAATATTAGTTTTTTTAGTTGTAAAAAAAATAGTATAAAGAAAAAGTTTACTATAGCAGATCGAACATGGGTAAATTGGACTTCAGTTGCAAGAAGCTGGATTAGTCACACTTCTATGAAATAGAATTATAAAATAGAGAAAGAAGTGTTTAACCTAATAAAGTGTTAGCATGATTGCCAAATTGATTCAAAAAAAATTATTATAAAAATAATAAATCTTTAAAAATTAATAATTTTTAATTTATTGATCCAATTTGGATAATTTAACTACCAAAATGATTTTCTTATAGAGGCGATTCTAATGAACCTAAAATCAACCAAATCTGGTCATGTGATCTCGAGATCGTTAATGTTTTATGTTATATTTACTATATATAGTAAATATAATACAAATCATTAATGAACTTGAGCGAGATTATGTAATTAAATTTGGCTAATTTTAGATTTATTTAGAAATAACTCTATGAGAGGATTATTTTGGTAATTAAATCATCCAAATTGGATCAATAGATCAAAAGTTATTAATTTTTAAAGATTTTATTATTTTTTATTAATAAAATTTTTAATAATTTTAATTTTTTTCTAATTGCAGGTCTCAGATCAAAGTACTGGTCCCAGCAACATGCACTTAGAGGAAGTCGACTGTATATCCTATATATATATTATATACAGTAATAAGGGGTGTACTGTACTTAATGTACAATTCCCAAAATATCAAGGCAATTTTGCTTATATAAAAAACACCTTGAACCCTAACCTACTATAGGACCCTAACTCTTTAGACATCCCCAAAAATCGGGTGACCACTACATACTTTTTTATTCGATTATCAATTTAATTTCACTACATAATTTGATTGGGTATTAAATGATGTCCCAGCGCATAGACAAGCGCATAACTTAAAAAAAAATCGCAAAATATAATGCTTATACTAAAGTTCCTTATGCTTTTACTTTGAAATTTCATGATTCTTTCAGTAATAAACAAATTAATTTTCTAGAATCATGTAATAATTCTTGTAAGATTGAATTTGGTGTAAATTTTCTTCTTGTTCATCATGCAATAGTAAATTTTATCGGGCTAAAAAAGAAACAAAATTTAATAATACACAATCAAATTCTTTACAGCATGGTGAATATGTGGAATGTGCAAATTTCACATAATTTTGCAAACCTCAATAAATTCTGTATATACGGTAACTGATAATCGGTATGACTCATCTCTGCGAATTTATTGTTAACGATTATTTTCGATTATTTTCGATTACGATAAATTAATGGATTATTAAGAACCAAATATTTATTCTTTCTAGGTGCAATAAATTTCTGAATGCGGTCTCAATTTACAGAGTAAAATAAAGATGCGGGTTCTATCTAAATTCAGGATCTTCTATTATCCAAGTCCGAGATGCATTTAGAGAGTCAACTGTATTGAGCAATTTACTACATGTTTCATTTTTACTATCATTAATGTGGTCATCGAAAATTTCAAGGGCAGCATTAGAGTCCAAGGTCTTAAATTAACTTGACGTACATCAACGGACACAATTTTTATTACTAATTCAAGGAAAATATATATTTACTGTGTATCACTTATTAAAAAAGCAACCCTCCAGATTCTAAAAACGAAAGTCTGGTGGAGGGTATTATGTTTTAATAAAATTAAACCCGAATATAAGCAACCGTTTCAAAGTTTTGATTGCTTTTATTCGGTAATATACGGAAATTATTATATTAATTTACTACTATTATTTACATCTAAAAAGATATCTTAATATTTACAATATTCACAGAATATTATACCCCCGTCTACTTTTCCATACATCCCTTTATTTGTTTGTTCTATTCAAGTTAAAATTTGCATTTTTTAGATGGTCCAGCCAAAAAATGGCCATCCTCTTCTCGTCTTTGTTTGGAAGTAAGATCGGCAGAAGCGATGGAACTAGTCTGTAGTAAAAAAAAATGAAAAAATTAGAGAATTTTCGATGTTTTACTTGCTTCCATACTCCAAGGATAAGCAAAAATAATTCTCGTAAATATCTTAAAATCATAAATTAACGGCAACATTGTTCACAGAAAGATCACTGATAGAACGGAATGCACATTAGTTTCCAGTGGCCAAATGTCACTGGACTTTTCCGGAGATTTTCCACTTACTAGATGGAAATTCTATCCTTCCAAAAAATATATACACTTATTGTCTTATTGTAATATGTCGCATAACTACCAAAATCATTTACCATATCATTGCAAATAATACGTTATTTCCACATTTTACAATAATACGGAAAATTGCATGAATTTTTAAGCAAATTTTATTACAAAAAATATTTCAAGTTTTTTAAATGCTTGTTCAAAAGTTTAACATCTCAAAAACTATTTATCGCGCAAAACAAAATATTTATATGATTTTGGTGGTTATGCTTCGTTCATCATGAATCACTGAAAAAAGAAGATTGAATTAATTTTAAGTGAGTGCGGATGATCATATTGATTGGATGTATTCCTTCAGAACATCGAACCCGATTCTTAGCCAATCCCATCTGACTTTGTTTTGTGTTTACATATTTCATATTATAATTGCACGAAAATTGAATATCCCTGATCGATATGTTTTCTTCATACCTGCTAAAGAAAGAAATTTCAATACTTTTAACCTACGATTTGATTAGATTAAATTACAAATGATACATATCTCGCTCGTCAACGTGAGAGAAATAATTCGGGCATGTCGTAAAAGAAAATAATCAAGAACCTGACTTTTGGGTTTTAAATTTTATCCACCTTTATCAATTAAATCGCTATGAATAAGATTATTGCAAGGAGAACTTGAATTACTAGGTTCGAATAACGGTATTGTACAAGTAAATACTTGGACAAATGAAATCATACACACCAACCAAATCGTCATGTATTCTCACGTATTCGCGATTTAATCAACCTATGCGCGTGCACTAACTTGGATATAAAGTGAAAATATATTAGGCAATATAACTAATTTAAAAGTTCTACTTTTAAATTCGTTCTATCGCATAATGTGTTTTCATTTCGCTTTCAAGTTAGTACGCGCGCATAAGTCAGTAAAGTCAGATGGAATAGGCTTAGAGATAGTACCCGTAGAAAAAATCGCTACCCGGATATTATTAAAATATCCGGGTTACCCGGGTAAATATTATATCTTCCTGATAAAAACTTTATCCGGGTACAATGTCTAAATAGGCTTCTTATTAATCGGATCAGATAAGAATAAGTTGCTATCCTTGGATTGGAGCATAACATGTCTTTTCATGAATACATATTAAGTATTAATACATGCATTTTTATTGGTTAATATTATCTACATTTTTATTAGTCAATGATATATAGGTTCCAGTGAGAAAATCTCTCCAGTGGAATTTGTCACTGGAACCACTGGAATTCTGGAAAAATTTGGATGCCCAGTAGGTTCCAGAAGTCCAGTGCCAACACTGTCTTTAACACGATCTTACCTCCACTTCGATATCACTCATTATGACGTCATCGTCTGATTCAGATGAGGAGGATGAGTCATCAGTGAGCACGTGCCCTCGAGGAACAACGATGACTGGTCTATGATCGTTACTTCTATACCCTGGGCCGAATATTGGAACAAATCCTTGATTGTCTAATCCTAGCACCTCTGCAATGACCTTCCGTGCATTATGATATGGAAACCTTGTTATTACAAAAAAGAATTAAACTTTTGTGAATTAATAAATTTGTAAGATTTACGAACACTCACCACGTGCCCTGGTATTTAATGTTACCACCCACAATGACAAACTTATCAACATTCCAACTTGGTTGGTAGCAGTTCAATTTTTCAATCTTGAAATTAGGATTACCCATCAACTTCTTTATCGGGTTCATGTGTACGAATCCTGTTAGAGCATCCCAACGGATTGTTTCGCCTTGATAATTGTATTCGTATGCTAATGGATGATTTGTTATTTTGATTACAATCAAAATCTTTATTACATGAGAACAACGAGTGGAACGTCCCTGAACCATAACTTTTTTATTCATAACATTATTTTATCATTATAACTATGCTCTATTATTCTTTCGTTTAACCGAAACTTGTTTTTTGTTTAGACGCTTCTATAACTTTGCGAAAAAATCGAAAATAACGTGTTAAATTTGCTCACCAATGCTAGGAATACAATCTTTTCCATTATATCTGATAGTATTAACGATAAAACCTGGAGTAGAAAATGGCTCCCACTCTCCTGACGGTTCAGGTTCAGGCAAACTTTGTTGATTACGATTTCGTGGCCTTGTGGTCTGCTTACTCTTCCCTTTACTTGGAGCAGTTTTATCCATTCTACGTGAAGAGTTCATAAATTCGACGCGATTCTTTCCGCTCTATTTTCAGAGAAATAAAATTAATAAAAATATATAATAAATTTTAAAAATATAAGACAATATGTACTTTGCTACGATTATCGTCCCTTGCCTTGACTTTTTGATTGGGCGTTTTGCGCAAAGGCCATTCAATACAGAATAAGTTAAAATGTCGTGTGCATCTTGGACATCTTCTCTCTTTGTAGTCAAACGTACTAGAATACTTCTCGCTACATATCTTGCAGCGTCGCGTGACTTCTTGCTGGGCATTAACTGCCGAAGAAGGACCAGCAATTACTATGGCCTTAGAACTAGAATCTGATATATCATTACTACACAAATATGCAATAGACATCCGTGAACTACCGCCCGCAGGAGTAAACGGGCTATTACTCTGACCAGTTACTCCAAAATTATTTGACAGCGAAGCGTTTACACCTTGATGAGTCGGCGTATTTACTCTACGAAAGATCGTTATTCCCCATTCAACCCTGATTTCTGGTGATGCAACTACATTAACACCAGCCCAAGAACTTTCCATTTCAGAATTAAAACATGTACTCGCTGTTCTTGCCATTGATGGTGAGGATAAAGGATTTTGCGAAATGCCACTATTATGTTGATTTTCTGATACTGAAGCTAACAAACGGTTTGCGTTGTTGTACTGACGAGCAGAAGAAATCATTGTACGGAAACTCATAGGTTCTGCTCTTGTCGGTAATGAAATTGTGGTAGTCGCAGTATGTTGCGTGACACTACCAGTGGCACAATCAATGTCAGTTGTAGGTTGTAAGGGTTTTTCAGTTTGTTTGTCCAATTGTTTGTTTTTTGAGCTTTTAGTCACTTTTAGTAGTTATTCAAATAAATATATTAGTACTGTATAGCAGATACATCTGGTCATTAGAGATAAATACCGAATTATTTTATATCAATGACAATGGAAATAAAATGCATACGAAGACCAGACTTCCTCCGTCGTAAAACGCTGCGCCGAATAAGTTTGCCCTTATCATCGTAAACAAATGGTCGTAAACCTTCTTTCAAAACTACACCATCATCTTCGGTACGGAATGATCCCGTTTTATTTCTAAAAAGGTAAATCAAATAAGTTAGTAAGCAGATAAAAATAAGCCTGACTAACTAGACAGCTCACCTCTCACATGTTGCACAAAGACACTCTTCGTTTCCGGCTCCAAAATAATTATCACCATAATAAGCTGTCAATTCTTCTCCAATTGCAACATCACGAAGAAATTTAAACGCTATTGCATTTTGTCCAGATGAGATAAATTCCGTATTGGGACAACAGTCATGCTAGAATAATGATGAATTAATTATTAATGATATTAATAAATTAAAGGAAAGTACCAATACCTACATTAACAAATCTTGCTGGTCCCAACAATAAACACATCGTATCTTTCCTTGATGACCACATAATACTGAAGTCTCGACCACCTTCTAATGCTCTTTCTTCTTCTGTGGTTAGGCTAACAAGTGTACCAGAACAATGCCGAATTTCGTCGCCTACATGCCACTCTTTCGTGGCGATTATACAAGCCTCTCGTTTCATCGAACCAGAATATCTATCTGTCTCAGCTATTTCAAAACCGGCCGTAGGTAAATACATTGCAAAATACCTTTTGGCGTGCCTATTATATGTTTAAATTAATGTTTATAACCTTTTCGCCTTTGCTCTAAAATAAAAGATCGATTCATACTGGATAAAATCTTTTTCGG